GGAGAAAAAAATAAATAAAAGGAAGCCAGATCCCACATGGCCAACCATGGTTCAAATCCTGACTCCGGAAGCTTGAAAAACATGCCAGTGGCAAAGCATGTATGCTCAAAATCCCAACAGAAATGGACAGAGAAAGAACTGGTGTGACCTTGCTCCACTAGGGGGTACCTTTCTCCCTCTCCCTTCCTCCTGTCTCCGACTCTCTCTGGCTAGGGCATGTGTCCTCTGGCAATTAAAAAACAAACAAACAACAACAAAAAACAAGAAGTGGCCATGTAAGATCAGCTGTAAGGAAAGAGTCTGGCCCAATTTGCCATTATTTTGTGCCTCAGAACTTGCCAGAAATAGAGCCCACTCCAAATTCTCTAGCATTAATGCTAAAACAGAAAGACAACTGAGGAGAAAAATAAGAGAAACATGCACACAAAATTTACTCTACAATAAAACCAAAAATGAGGACCCTGATTTATTCAAATTTGCTCTAATTTATGATGTTTTGGAAGGTAAACATCAAAAGAAAATAAACTGGTATTAGAACTTTCCTCACAAGACAAAGTTCTTAGTAACACCAAGCTCTCAGCAGCATCGTCCACCAGACCCCATGCCCTGTGAAGATGGTAATGTCTTACACTGTGATGTTAGGGTCGCCATTAGCCATGTAAAACAAGGCTCGTGTGGCTGAGGGACTACATTTTTAAAAAATTATTTTATTTAACTTTATTTTATTTATTTAATTTGACCAGAGAGGGACAGAGCGAGAGAGAGAGAGAGAGAGAGCGAGACAGCGAGAACGAGAGAGAGAGAGAAAGTGAGAAAGCAAGCTGCCAGGTCCAGGACTTGAGCCTCGGTCAGACATGTGGTAGTCCAGCGCCCTTAACCACCATGCCACCTGCTGGCCTTGAGGGACTGAATTTTTAATGTTCTCAATTTTCATTAATCTAAATGTAAACAACCACATGTGGCTGCTATCTACCACCTCAGACAGGCACAATCTTGGTTCTTGCCTAGTGGTCTTTCAATTACTAAAACCCATAAAATCCTGCAGGGTACTCAAGAGTATGTTCGCCAAATTCTCTTTATGCTAAAAACGAGACTTAGAAACTTCTAACAGAGAATAAGCAGATTCTCAAAAGTCAGGGCCTCTTCACTCTAGTCAGTTGTTCATAGATGGTATAAAACTGAGTACGTATTACATGGTTATTGAAAATATGCATCTTCCATGAAGATCAATGTGTTAACACATATTTTGTCTCAACTCAACAGACAGACAAGCACTGATATCAAATGCAAAACAAATTCTGAACCTAAAGTTAGCCTAAGTTCTCATTAGCCTTCACCTCCATTTCTGATTCATTTTCCATATCAGAAATATCCAGTGTTTTTATTAATCAGAATAAAAAAGGGACTGGTTGCCTGCATCATGTAAAATGAAAAGGAAACCAGAGTAGAAGAAGCTGGGTAAGAAACAGGTTACAGGGATCAGCAGATGGTATAATGGTTACATCGCTGGACACTCACATAGTTGACTGAGGTTTGAGTCCCAGACCCGGCAGCTTAAAACTCATGCCGGGCATGTGTGCATGTGTGCTCAAGATCCTGAGAGGCGAATGGAGGAGAAGGGATTATGGCACGGCCATCCCCCCTGGGGGGTGATTTCTGGCTTTCTGTCTGTCTCTCTGGTGAGTGTGTGCGCCCTATAGCAAATGCCCCCCCACCAAAGAAAGAAACAGAATACAAAAGTGATCAGCATGTGAAGAAAAAACAAGTCAAAAAGAAAAAGGCAATCCATGTGGAATGGGGCAGCACCTAGCCCTCTGGTCAGACTTGACTTCCTCTTTCTCTATTTACGGTACCTACAGCGGCTCCCAACACCAGATCACGTTACTCTCCATTCAAAGATCTACCAAAACATGCACTGGGCACTGGCAGATACAGCGGATGTCCCAGCACTGGTCTTGTGACTGTCTTGGACAGAGGCTGACAATGTCCTTGAAGCTGGGAGGAGCAACACACAATGCAATTGCAGGTAAAAGGCAGCTAGGAGATTCTGGTAAGGCTTTTGGTCTTCCTGTTACAAGGGACAGAAAGGTTAGCTCTGCGTCCACCTCCTCTTCTTACTGCCCTGACTGCAGATGTGAAGGTTATAAAACAGCTCCTACAGCTTCCCACACGAACAGTGAACCTGATGGAATGATGGAAGCCAGTAAGCCAGGGCAAGAGAGTGGAACCCGAGTCCCCAAGAGCATCAAGAACAAATAGACAGATGCCAGCAACCACTAATGTTGGGACTTCTTGCTACTTGAGAAAAATAAATCCCTAGTCATGGAAGGGCTCTCAGGGCTCCTGCTATTTGCAGGCATGTTGTTTCTGTGGCCCACCCCAGCAGGTGTGGGCAGCCAGAATAAATGTCAGCTGCGACCTATCTGCCATGTGTCCACTCCAGTGGAGCCCTAA